GGCTTCTTCTTCATTTGGAACAAGTGTTGTCTGATCAGTCATAGTTGGCATTGGTTCAACAGGATCCACTGAATCAGGACTATCAGGCCCACCCACTATAAAAACAGAAATTTGGTCATAAAAGGCATGGGTATTTAATACATCTCTTACAAATGGGGAAAAAAAATCCCTTTGAGAATTGAAAGAAACCCATTGGTACCAATACCAAACACTTCCAGTTATGAAGGAGGCCCTCCAGAGGGGCGGCTAAAAAAGGGGAGGGGCGCAGGGTTAATCATTTAAGAGAATCAGAACAATCATAACCACTGTTTTTAAGATTTGTAATTCATTAAAAGCTGGAACTTAGTTTGTGGTCTTCGACATCAAATACCTTTTTAGCTGCACAGTCACGCCCACGACACCGAGCAGGAAATGCTTACTTGATACGTTCTCATCCTCGTCCATATCATCATGTGCAGGCTGTTCTGGCAACATCACACCTGCCTCTGACAGGGCCGGGGGGTCGTCAAAGATACCACCATCATTATTACTTATAAGTTTGTCGTCTGAAATAGGGCACATAATTTAGTTACCACTTGAAAAAAAATGCTAAAAGAATAGCCAGTCACTGGGAAAGTAAAATTAAATTAAAATGAACCAAATTTAAAAATCTGTATCCGACTTGCACCTGTTTCTCTTCAAGGTAGCATACAAAAGTATAACAGTATAGGAAAAAAATTCCATTTTCCAGTTCACATCTCCATTTAAAACATTTAAGATTATCAAACACAAACAGAGCAGTTTAAGAACTAGTAAAACTTAAAACTGAGACAAGCACCTTTAACAAAATCAGGTATTGTTATAACATTTTTAGGCTATAGTTTGCGACCCTGAATGAAATCAACTAGTCACAATCCATACATGTATACCTAAAGAGTTGCTTACAACCCAGAATTAGCGACTGCTTTAAAACACTGCAAATGAACAAAGAAATGTTAGAATAACCACCTTCTTGTCACCTACCTAATATACCACCATCATTTCCTTCTCCAAAATTGTCATCTTTATATTGGTCTTCATATTCTAAATGATTAATTTTTTCATTCAGATTGCTGGTGCTCTGTTCAGGCTCTAACAGGAGGTTAGAAGCGCTAGTGCTCACTAACATGTCATCATCCTCAAAAGCACTTCCTTCTCTCATGATCTCACGATCATCCATTCCAAAGTCACCTGAACAAATTTTAGTTATTAGTTGAAAAAAGTTACAAACATCACTCTTATAAAACAGCTAATGATTATAATTGGAATGTCACATTTGCTAATTGAAACCTTACTAACCTTTGAGTATTAAAACACCCAGTTTAAACTTTAAATCTATAGCATCTATATTTCATAAACTGATTCTGGGCATGACTAGCACATTCAAACACAGGACCCAAATTTAGGTTATCCTAAATATGTTAAGTAAATTTAAATATGTCTATAGGTTAGGTTGCGTAAACATTCAGACTTAAACTTTTGTTATAACGTGTTTTCATCAAGAAAAGAATTTGGCTACCTGTTTTAAACACTATTCACAAATAGAAGACTGGGCGCCTGGGTGGCTCAGTTGGTTAAGCATCTGCCTTCGGCTCAGGTCGTGATCCCAGCGTGCTGGGATCGGCCCTGTGTGATCAACAGGGATTCTGCTTCTCCCTCTCCCTCTGCACCGCCCCCAAACCGGCCCCACCTCATGCTAGCTCACTCCCTCACAAATAAATCTTAAAAAAAAAAAAAAAATAGTAGGTACATAATTAAATTGTTCCCAAGTGATTAGTTTAAAAATGGGCATTACTTCAGTGTTGGGACTTTTCACACAGATTCACATATAGGTTCTATCACTGTACGGGAAGCAGGAATAGGCAAAGAATGAACTCAAGTTTGATGCATAAATGGAAATGACTGATGCTTAATATACTAGTAGGAAGGAAAATTCTTTTCTTGATGAAAAAGCATGAGATGAAATTTTGTCCTTCTGTCATCATGAATGTAACATGTCTGGGTTTTCTTTTTTAACTTGCTAGCTGTGCCGCAACATAATTCTAACATTATTAGCTAGTGTCTAGTGATTTGTTTCTCTATTACCAAAATCATTTTCTTGTAGAATACTGATGTTCCCAACTTCTTCTCTCATGGTTATTTCTTCCACTCTACTCTGGTTCAGGCTGAACTGCTGGG